AAACAACTTTTGGCTTGTTACTGGGCCTTAGTAGAGACTGAACGCTTAACCATGGGACACCAAGTCACCACACGGCCTGAGCTGCCCATCATGAACTGGGTGTTGTCTGACCCACAGAGTCATAAAGTTGGACGTGCACAGCAGCACTCCATCATTAAATGGAAGTGGTATATATGAGATCGGGCTTGAGCAGGACTCGAAGGCACAAGTTGCATGAGGAAGTGGCCCAAATGCCCATGGTCTCCACTCCTGTCACATTACCTTCCATCTCCCAGTCTGTACCTATGGCCTCATGGGGAATTTCTTACGATGAGTTGACTGAAGAAAAGAAAACTTGTGCCTGGTTTACAGGTGGTTCTGCGTGACATGCAGGTACCACTCTAAAGTGGACAGCAGCAGCACTACAGCCCCTTTTTGGGACCTCCCTGAAGGACAGTGGTGAAGGGAAATCCTCTCAATGGGCAGAACTTCGAGCAGTGCACCTGGTTGTTCACTTTGCTTTGAAGGAGAAATGGCCAGATGTGTGACTATACTGATTCATGGGCTGTGGCCAATAGTTTGGCTGGATGGTCAGGGACTTGGAAGGAACATGATTGGAAAATGGGAGACAAGGATTTATGGGGAAGAGGTAGGTGGATAGACAGACCTCCCTGAATGGGCCAAAGAAGTGAAGATATTTGTGTCTCATGTGAATGCTCACCAAACGGTGACCTCAGTAGAGAATTTTAACAATCAAGTTGACAGGATGACACATTCTGTGGAAACCAGTCATTCTCTTTTCCCAGCTACTCCTGTCATTGCTCAATGGGCTCATCAACAAAGTGGCCATGGTGGCAGGGATGGAGGTTATGCATGGGCCCAGCAGCATGGACTTCCACTGACCAAGGCTGACTTGGCTACAGCCACTGCTGAGTGCCCAATCTGCCAGCAGCAGAGACCAACACTGAGTCCCTGATCTGGCACCATCTCTCGAGGTGATCAGCCAGCAACCTGGTGGCAAGTTGATTACACCGGACTACTTCCATCATGGAAAGGGCAGTGTTTTGTCCTTACTAGATCAGACGCTTACTCTGGATATGGATTTGTCTTCCCTGCACGCAATGCTTCTGCCAAAACTACCATCCGTGGACTTACAGAATGCCTTATCCACCCTCATGGTATCCCACGCAGCATTGCCTCACAACAAGGGACTCGATTCACAGCAAATGAAATGCAGCAGTAGGCCCGTGCTCATGGAATTCACTGGTCTCACCGTGCTCCCCATCATCCTGAAGCAGCTGGCTTGACAGAACAATGGAATGGCCTTCTAAAGACACAATTACAGCACCAGCTAGGTGCAACACCTTGCAGGGTTGGGGCAATGTTCTCCAGGAGGCTGTATATACTCTAAACCAGCATCCTATATATGGTGCTGTTTCTCCCATAGCCAGGATTCATGGGTCCAGGAATCAAGCGGTGGAAATGGGAGTGGCACCACTCACTAATACCCCTAGTGACCAACCTGGAAGATTTTTGCTTCCTGTCCCTGCAACCTTATGCTCTGCAGGCCTAAAGGTCTTAGTTCCAAAGGGAAGAATGCTTCCACCTAGAGACACATCACTGATTCCACTGAACTGGAAGTTAAGAATTCTACCTGGCCACTTTGGGCTCCTTATGCCTCTGGATCAACAGGCAAAGAAGGGAGTTACCATACTGGCTGGTGTGAATGCTCCTGATTATCAAGAGGAAATCGGGTTGATTAGTACATAATGGAGGTAAAGAAGTGTATGTCTGGAATGCAGAAGATCCCTTAGGGCGTCTCTTAGTACTCCCATGCCCTGTGATTAAAGTCAATGGAAAATTACAGCAACCCAATTCCGACATGACTACTAATGGCCTAGACCCTTCAAGAATGAAGGTTTGGGTCACCTCACCAAGCAAAGAACCATGACCAGCTGCGGTGCTTGCTGAGGGCAAAGGGAATACAGAATGAGTGGTGGAAGAAGGTAGTTGTAAATACCAGTTACGGCCACATGACTAGTTGTAGAAACAGGGACTGTAATTGTTATGAGTATTTCTGCTTTGTATGTGTGCATCAAATATTTTTGTTTCCTTCACTTACATAAAATGTAAACGGGGCTAGTGCGTTTTCGATCGTAGACGTTAGCTGTATCATCTTAGGCACAAGCATGACTTTCTAATTTATTCAGAGATTATGTATGGTTTAAGGAGATATGTACATATGTCAAGTTGACTAGGGGTGGACTGTGATGGTTAAGACTGTGTGTCAACCTGACTGGGCCATGATTCTCAGTGTTTATATGTGATCACTCCCATGACTGAATATGCTGTGAGTGGCCAGTCAGACGAAAGGGAGTTTCCTTGGGGGTGTGGCCTGCATCTGAATACAGGCAGACGTTCTGGCTTTTAGTTCTCTCTGGATCCTGCAGCTGCCTCCTGTCATCTCACCTCCGGTTCTTGGGACTTGAGCTGCCAGCTAATGTGTCGAACTTGGGGTTCGTTGATCTGCACAGCCTGTGAGTGGCAGCCCTGCTCTCCAACCTGCCCATCTTGGGTTTGCCAGAGCTTCTGCGGCTGCGTGAATTGGGACTTGGGACGTTCTAGCCTCTACAATCGCGTGAGCTGTTCCCTTGATATGAATCTCTCTCTACATATATTTATACGCTTTACTGGTTTTGCTTCTCTAGAGAACCCAGCCTAAGACAGGATTTATGGCTTTCCCTGCAAATATCAATGTCCCAGGCCAACAATGTGCTCCGTCGTGGCTTCCAGTGTCAAAGCCGAGGCAACCCCCAGATCCCTCCCTCTACCGTGCCTGCCCTCTGCGGGACCCCATGCCTGCAAGCACAGGCAGGCAGCGGTGCCTCCTCAGCGACATGGTGTAATCCCTTTTCTAACCCTAACAGCTGTGGGATGGAGTGGCCCCTCGCCTCTGTGTGCAGCTCGAGCACTGCTCATCAGTGTGGGGGTCCCTGCACTTACACGCCCCCTGCTTCTCCTCCCGGGACCTGCCTGTGGTTCTGCAGGGCTCTCTCCCTGGTGACCGTAAGGTGCCCTGGTAGTGAAGACCACATGGTGGCCTCCACTCCGTCCTGCCTGTGGCTCTGCCTTGAGGTGCTGCCGTCACACAGACCCCTGCCAGCCACCATGCTCCTGTGCTCTGCCCCAGGTCTAGGCATGCCTCTGACTCCTCCAGGCAGCACCTGGGCGGCCACTGGCACTCACTCTATTGTGGAACCTGGAGGGCCGGTACGTCCTGGGGGACAGGTTGTAGACAGCGTAGTGCCCCGGGTGCTTGGAGTCCAAGAACAGCCGCACGTCCTCGATATTGTTTTTGATTGCTGACTCCACGCCTTCAGCTGGGAACGACATCACTGCAACAAGAGGCGGGTCAGCCACCACATATGACGGCCATCTGGGGCTGCCCTCATCCTGGTCCCACCCTACTGCCCCTGGAGCCCTGCCTGGGGGCCAGGGAGCAGCACCCTGCAGCTCTATCAGCCACTGGCTGGCTGGATGGTCACACTCAGGTCCCTGGCCCTCAGTCCTCATGGATGCCAATCTGAGCTGTTTACTGACCTTTCCAGCAGGTGTGCAGAAAGGGGGGTGGAATACAAACCCACCCATGCTATTAGCCACTGGCGTGGAAGATCCCAGCTAAAAGCCAACCATGCAGCATCTGCGCTCTCAGGTCATGCTTTCCGGCACAGTAAACTCCCACAGTGCCCTGATGCACGCACAGTGGGCATCTAGAATCAGGATACGCCTTCCGGACACTTGCTGCCTGAGATGCAGACTTTAATGTGCACCTATCTCTGTGCATCATCCCCTTTGTGACCCCAGAGTTCCAGGAAGTGTGAGAATGGGAAGAAAGTGGCTGGGCACCAGCACAGCCTATCACACAGCTGGAAGTATCTCAACATAGGCAATGCGCCTCCCACTGCAAACCTGGCGAACCTCTGGGCACTCACAGAGCCTCACGGGACCCCCAGGCACTCACAGGACCCCGCAGGACTTTCGGGTTCTCAGAGAACCTCTGGGTGCTCATAGAAGCCCGCAGGACCTCTAGGCACTCAGAGAACCTCCGAGCGCTCACAGGACCCTGTGGGACCCCAGGCGCCCACAGGATCCCACAAGACCTCCAGGCGCTCAGAGAACCTCTGGGTCCTCACAGAACCCTGGCAAGACCTCTGGGTACTCAGAGAACCACTGGGTGCTCATGGGACCCCATGGGACCTTCAGATGCTAACAGGACCCCACAGGACTTCTGGGTACTCAGAGAATCACCGGGTGCTCACAGAACCCCATGGGACATCTGGGTGCTCAGAGAACCTCCAGGTACTCGCAGAACCCCTGCATGTTCACAGGACCTCAGAGGGGCTCCAGGCTGTGACTGAGCACAAGAGGCTAGAGAGGCAGAGCCCACTGCCCCTCGCCCAGCTCCACCCTAGCGCCCCATCAAACATCCTGCCAGGAACACCCTGGAAGCCGGCAGTCTTATGGCACGTTCCCAGAAAAAGAAGACTCAGAAGTGTATCCTTATGATTAAACTGGGCAAACGTACCAGCAATTCTGGATGTGATGTAGGAAATGTCCAAGTCTCCCTTAGCATAACTGAAATTAAAAAGAAAAGCAAATGGTTATTACAGGAAATATTCTACAGTGTAGTCACAGGAGCTGAGACTGGAGCCTGAGTCCTGAGGAAGATGTAGGGGGCAGTGGAGATTCAGTGTCGAGGCTGTATCATCACAAGGGATGGATGTGCATGTGTGCCTATGAATGTGGAAACCCATGTAAGTGTGCATGTGTGTACGCATGTGCATGTGTGTAGCTGACATCTCTATCAGCGGTGGGCAAGAACTTATAAACTGCAGCATCACTACTCCACACCCTGCTCCCCACTCCTCCCGCAGGAGGAAAAGTCACCTCACCCAAGAACTGAAAAGCAGACCCGTGTTGGTGGCTAGAGTCAACACTGTAGAGAGCACCCGTCCCTAAACGGGTCTATCAAACCCATAAAATGCATCAAAAGCCCTCAGTGACTATGTTTGGAACCTGGTCTGGCCCCGAGAGTGCCCTGTGGACCGCTGGCCGAGGCCCACTGTTTCCTGAGGGTCAACCAGGCTCTTCTGCCAACACACAGAGCCCTCAGGTGTCTGGAGAGCCCCTGGCAGCGTTGAAGTACACCAGGTGCACCTGTGTGGAGGGAAGGTGCCCACGGAGCCCAGCTACGGACCAGGTCAGGGGAAGGAAGGGATCGGCCGTGCCCTTCATACCATGACCATCAGACACAGCTATGCGGAGGACATGAGGGATGAAACAGAGAGCACATGGACGTCAAACCTCAGCAGGGAGAAGGGCTGTGATTGGCCCCTTTCTGCCACCTCCTTGTCCAAAATGTGTTCATTTGTCTGACAAGTGACCAACACGTGTTTGTTCTGGGGAGTATCATTATAAACTCCTGAGTCTTTACAAATCTGAAATGTTGCCATCCCCTACAGTCACCATGCCTTCTGATGCTCCCCAATCACCCCCTCTCTGGCTGGTGAGAGCCCCTCAGCCTGGATTCCGTGTCTTTGGAAATGACCCCAGTCATCTGATAGCTTCTTTGCTTTCAGACAAGACGAGAAGTCCACAGCTCCTCCCACTCAGTCCTGCCCCGGACCTGCGTCATCAAGGAGATGCCCTCCGTCCCGTGGGAAAGGGTAATAAGAGGTCACAGTCTGGGTGCTGGGGTGCTCACTGCCACTGGGCTGTCACTGCCCCTAGGCCTCGTCAATGGGGAGAGCCAAAGAAACGAATGTAGGCACAGTGTTATTTCCATCTAACGAACATGGGGTCTATTTAAATATGTATCCTGGGCAGAACCACGTTCAAACCAGGCCTGAGACCGCTGTCCTCTGAAAGGCCTGCCTGCAAGGTTGGCCCTGGGCTGGCTGGCATCTGGTAACTTGGCCTTCAGGAGGTTTTCCGCTACCCTAGCTGATAAGAGTGGCTCACTGGGCCTAAACTGTATGCAAACATGGTGGTTTATTCTGAACACCTTTCCTTCTGAGAGTCTGTAAATTTTGGTACACACCAGACAGAGGGTGCCTATGTGACCAGCTCTAATAAAAAGCTTGTGTGCTGAGTCTCTTAACGAGCTTCCCTGGTAGACAACATGTCGCTTGTGTTGTCACAACTCGCTGCTGGGGGAATTCAGCATGTCCTGTGTGACTCTGTGGGGAGAAAACTCTGGAACGTTTACACCTGGTTTCCCCAGACCTGGCCTCACACGCCTCTTCCCTGTGCTGGTCTTGCTCTCTCCTGTCACTGTAAGAAATCACAACCATGAGTACGACTATCTGCTGAGTCCTGAGAGTCCTCCTAGAGCATCCTTGGACCTCAGGGGGGTCTTGGGGACCCCGACGCACATCCCTTTCCTCTTATTCTGCGAATCTCAACTCCTAATGACTTTAACACAATTTCTTATTTGTTTCATCCTTTTCTCTTTCCAGCTCCCATTTAATCCCAACATCACCACTAACAACAAGACCACTGGAAACTGTAAAATTCCTAAGTGGCTTTCTGCCCTTGGGGTATATCTCACTCCTGCTGCCTCAAGTCGCTTCCAACTCATAGCGACCCTGCAGGACAGAGCGGAACTGCCCCTTAGAGTTTCCAAGACGGTTGTCTTAACAGAGGCAGATTGCTACATGTTTCTCTTGCAGAGTGGCTGGTGGGTTTGAACCGCTGACCTTTCAGGTAGCAGCTGAGTACTTAACTACTGTGCCATCATGGCACCACAATCCGGCAGGAAACACAGGGGACACTGACATCGGGGAAGAATTAACACAAAGGGGGCTGGGTCACCCAGTGGCATCTTCAGGAGTGGGGAGCCTTGTCCTGGTGTACCCTGCTGGCTCCAGGGCATGCCTCGCATAAGCCCATGGGATGAACAGCACACTGGGCATATCCACAGAGCATCCATGGCATAGGGCCAGCACCGTGAGGTCACCCCCATGCTCAGAGCCACACTCACTGGGACCACGTGTCAGTGTCCTCGGCGTGAGAGCCCAGCAGGGGCCAGCGGCCCTGAACAAGACAGGCAATGTAAGTTCAGGCATCACATCATTAAAGAAAAGCTCACTCCCAGCCTCTCCATAAGAAGGGATGAGACACTACACAGGAAGCCGTACTCTCCTTTGTTCTGCTTTTCTTCAAATGAGAGCAATGCGCCCATGCCATGGCTCCCTTCCCACGACCGTCCTCAAGGACAGGGGGTCAGAGAGCCGGGCACTAGAAGTATCAGCTACAACTGTTTATGGGCCGGGGATCCCAGGCGCCCAGAGATCTGGACTGCAGCCCCACAACATCGCTTAAGGTGCTCCGTGCTGATGGCATGCACTGCGGGACACCAGCCACACTTCAAAGCTTCTTCTCGTTATGTCAGCTGAAATTGCAAATAAAACACACAACATGCTACAAAACCAGCAGATTAGCATAACGCACGCACACACACACACACCACCCCTCGAGCCACATGCATTTACCTGGTACTGCGGGCAGGTGTGGACACAAAATGATGATCATTGCACAAAAGAAAATACAATGAAAATGAGGCCAAAAAGTTCCAAAGTACATGTGCAATAAACACATCTCACTGTAGATGGCAACACGATTACAAATAATCAATGTCAAGCTATTACATCAGTTGATGGGCTCATGACTCAACACTGGAAAAAAACCCATAATACTACTGGAAAACCACCACGGGAGCAGTGAAGTACACACCCTGGCTTCCCTTCCAGCTACTTCCTAATGATTTGCTGAATTAAATCTAAATGCTTCCCTGCTTCCAGCAGAACCGTGCTGCTTGCGCAGAATATAAGCCCCCTCCACTGGGGCACGCTGGCCACACTGGCCCAGGTCCGCTCACACTGGCCACACTGGTGTACGATGGCTCACAATGGACCACACTGGCTCCCACGGGATACACTGGCCACACTGGTGTATGCTGGCTCCCACTAGCGCACGCTGGCCCCACTGGTTCCCGTGGGCACACACGGGCACACAGTGGACCACACTAACACACACTGGATGACACTAGTTCACATTAGATGACACTGGCGCACACTAGTTCACACTAGTTCCCACTGGATCACATTGGCTCCCACTGACACACACTAGCTCCCACTGGGGTACTCTGCCCACACTGGCCCCACTGGTTCCCACAGGCACACACAGGCGCATAGTGGACCACACTAGCACACACTGGATGACACTGGTGCACACTGGATGACACCAGTTCACACTAGATGACACTGGTGAACACTACTTCACACTGGATCACACTGGCTCCCATTGGCACACACTAGTTCCCACTGGGGTACTCTGCCCACACTGGGCCCACTGGTTTCCATAGGCACACGCAGGCACACAGTGGATCACACTGGATCAACAACACTTCAGAATAACAACTTGAAGCCTAAGAGCTTGTAATCCTGAGATAACTTCAAAAGTCAGGACTCAGAACCAAAGTTCTGATACACTAAATGCTGACCTCAGATAAAGAGAAGCTGACCTAAGATAAAACAAAACTGACCCAGAACTGGGGCCACGCTGTGACGTGGTCTGGGGAGGTGGCCTGGAGATGGGACTGGTGACACGGGTGAGGCAGGGACCCGGGAATGAGCAGGGCTGTGTGGGGAGCTGCATCTCCGTGAATGACAAGGACCGGGACCCCAGGCGGCACTGAGCAGGGAAGCTCCTCTGCAGTCTGCCCATCCCGGTGGCTGCATGGTAGAACGGTGGGTGCACCGAGCGGGGCCAGCAGGGCTCATGGCCCCTCTCCCAGGAGGAGGTTGAGGCACCAGGGAGCTGACCGAAAGGGTCCCCTCGGACTCACCAGACGCTCTGAGCGCTTCTCCTCCAACGGCCCAGAACGTTTCTGTTTTTTACCGAGCGCCTCTGGCGGGGGAGTGGAGAAAGGGCCTGGGGTCCCTGCTGCAGGCTAGAATGGCCGCCCAGCTGCACCCACTGCCCTGCTTGCTGGAGCACGCTCAGACTCTGGTCCCAGCACCAGGCCAAACCCGCCCTGAAGCCTGAGACACACTGCCCACTCTCCAAGGGTCCGCGGGCCTGACCGCCAACCCTGGTCTGATGGGGCACCTGCGGCAGAACAGGCACACACAGGGCATCCAGTCGTCCGCAGAGAGGCCGACCTGCCCACTCACATGAAGGGGGAGGCAGGCTAGATGCCGCGTCCCTCACGTCACCAACAGCCAGGACTGTGGCCTCAGCCAAGCTGGGAGGGTTGGGAAGCGCTGAGAGGTAGGACTGTACTTGCAACGTGAAAAAACCACATGCTGTCACCTAAATTTGGGGTCTCGGTGTGGCTGTGCCACACCTCCTGATACAGGCCCTCATGCTGAGCCTGCCCCCACGGCACTGGCTGCACACTTACTTAGCGACAGACTGAATGACCTTGGAAGAGGTGTCCTTGATGTTAGTGAAGAGCCGCTCGGTGCCGCCTCTGAGAATGTCAAAGAACCCGCTGTAGGACTGGTCACACTCTGCAACAGTCAGACCTGGAAGCAAAGACAAGTCACAGCTGGTCAGCGGGCACAAGCTGCCCCTTCCCGTGGCCTGCGAGGGGCCTGGAGCTGCAGGCGGACGAGCCAGGCCCAGCCCACCTGGGTCTAGGGGTGGCTCTGCCTCCTGCCAGCTCGTGCCCCCTTTCAGAAAGAGCTGTCTGTGAGCCCATGAGGAGCAGCGGGAGCAGAAAGGCCCGGGTCAGTCCCGAGCCGGACCCCTGGGTAGAGCCCACAGACACTGGGGAGCAGGTGCTGGGTGGATGAACACACAGGCCTGGGGTCCAGAAGATGCCCAGCTAGAAACGTCAAGAAATGGCTTGCTCTGAGGGGAGGGGACGAGGTAAACCCAAAAGGGAGACCGAGACTCGTGTGTGTGTTGCAGAGCTGGGACACTGAGGCCTGGTCCCACAACCCACGGGGCCGCAGCAACAGCATGAGGGGCAGGTCTGGCCAGTCCCCAGGGCCTCTGCACACACGGGAGAAGGCAGAGCTGGGAAAGCAGCTGGAGGCACTGGCGTCACCAAGCCCACCAGGCTGTGAGCCAGCCCAGGCCCCAGCGGGTCCGACCGCTGTCCTGAGCACTGTCTTAGCCTTTCTGAGGACCGAGGGAGGGCCCATCTAGTCACAGAAAGGCCGCACGGCTCAAGGACCAGAAACACACGCTCTGGCTAGAATACTCTCCATCTGGGCCACCGCGGTGGAGGCTGGTGGAGGGCTGCAGCACCAAGCTGAGCACCTCCAGATGCTGCCAGCCCGGAAAGATACAGAGTGCTGGCCGACAGAATGCAGGCAGAGTCCATCTAGAACACAGAAACCTGGGAAAGAAGGCCTTGAAGGTGGCTGTGGTGGTCAAAAGCTGGTGTTAAAAAGAGAAAAACCTGACTCACACCCCACCTCGTGTACAGATGTGGAGACAAGGCCACCAGCAGGCGACAGGGCCAGCGAGCTCCATGACCCCGGGGCTCTCCCAGACTCCGGCAGGCGGTGTCCAGCAGGAGACCGGCCAAGGACCTTTCACGTAAGTTCAGAATAAACACTCTCCACCCTCAGAACACCTACCTCATTTCTAAGCTTTTCTGTTTCTGTTTTGTTGTTTTTAACAACAAAGCAAAACTTCTCCAAGTTCCTTTGAAAACTCCAGCTTACTTTAAACTGAGCTTGAAGAGTGAGTTTGCTCCTCAGCCAGGGAGTGTGGCACCTAGAAAGCAGGAGGGGTGCTGGCAGATGTGCCCACCTCACACCAGGCTCAGGGAGGGCAGAGAGCGCCCGGGGGCCGGGAGGAGTGAGAACTCCCAACCTCCTCCCAGGAAGAGAGAAAAGCATCCCATCCTTCCAGGGCAAACCCAGTCCCGGGCAAAGGCACCCCGAAGACCTGGGCTACAGGCAGGGAGGCTCCCCGTTGTGCTCATCGCGCACCCTCCAGCCGGCCTCAGGCTCAGCTCAGGGGCCCTTCTGCCTCTGGCCTTGAATGCGGTCCACCTGGCCTGTTCCTCCAAGCCACTACCTACTCCCCTCCACTTCTTGGCCGTATGGTTTTATTATGAAAAAGCAAACATTTTTCCTTCCAAAAAGGTAATACGAGTATTTTATCAAAAGGGAGAAACTGAAGAGAAGCACTTCCTGCAGTGCCCTGGCCGTGCCCTTCTCCGCTGCAGCTGCTGTCTCTCCGCCCAGGAGGCTCCACATAAGTGTTAGTGATGGAGTCGGATGTGAAGCCGTCGGACGCTTTTCCAGTCTTTCCATCCGTGTGTGTGCTTATGCTGCCATGGCCGCCTGGGCTGGGCCTCCCAGAAGCCTAACACCCCGCAGCAACACTGGGCCTCACTGGCCCCCAGACAGGCTCAAGCTGTCACTTATCGCCCCTGCCTGCTCCAACACCATGTCACGGTCATCCTGCCCATCCCTGCCTTCACCTCCCACACAGAGCTTGTCACCTGCCTGTTGTCTTCAGTGTCAGAAGTGCACCCACAGGGGGCAGCCTCCATGGGCCCGGCTAGGGCCCCCTCAGAGCAGCCCACCTAGGGGCTTGTCCATGGTCAGGTGGCTGACACGTATAACTGATCTCATGATCAAGCAGTGTCCAGCCTGGCTCCGGCCCATACTGCAGTTGTTACTAATGACAATCGAAGTGTTAGAACTCGGCCATCACACGACCCGACTTTTCCAACCAAGAACCACGTCAACCACTGCACTAAACGGAGTGCAGGCTTTCGGCAGCAACTGTGCCCAGGAGGGGTGCACGTGGGTGGTGGTGGTGGTCCTGCGCTACAGACACAGAGTGCCCAGGACACAGGGTCAGACTAGCAGTCAGGAAACAGAGTTGAGGAAGAACCCAGGGGAGCGTTTCCACCACCCAGAGAGAGTGGTGGGTGGGGTGGATACGTGCACTGGGTGTCACGGTAAGCGCCACAGCAAAGTATGTCCTGCCAACACCTCCCAGATCCACAGCCTCCATCTGCTCTGGCCACCATCTCGAGGCTCTGCCTGGTGTCAGCTCATAGCCCATCAGAACCTTCCCTGGGTGCGTCCTGGCGTCTCTCCCTCAGGAGATGGGCTCCAGGACACGGCAGTGCTGGGGGGTCAGGATGCCCAGCATCTAGGCACAGTGCCCAGGTATGCAATAGGTGGCTAATACACATCAGATAAAGTGGAGTGTTAATTTTACTCATCCACGCGTGACCCAAGGCTCAAGGAAAATCCATTGGCTTTCCAGAATCTGACCGTTTCTCCTGCCTCCCAGGTGTCTCCCTGTCTGAGCCACCACCGCCTCTTCTTAGGAGCACTCCTGGCCTCCACCTCAGCCCACCGTGTCCTCTTACCTGGCAGCGGAGGACCCTCTCCTCGAAGGCCCCTGGTGGCTCCTGTTGCCCTCAGAGGAGAAGCGACGTCCTGGCAGTGCCCACAAGGCCCCATGTGACGTTCTCCACCTCCCTGGCTCCCTCTGTCCACTCATCCTCTTGCCCCTTCTTCTCCCCCACAGCTGGCCTCCACAGCTGGGCAGATTCAAGCTGCGGGCCTATGCAGGGTTGTCCCCTCTGCCCAAGGCCCCCGTGGCTCCATCAAGACTTCACTCAAACCATCCCCTTCTCAACAAGCTGCCTCATACCACCTCCTGGCATCCCAATTCCCATCACACCTGCTCTGTCTTCTAATACTTGAGGTTATATGTTTATCTATCATCTCATTTATCATCTCTGTGTAGTAAAGGATCAGCCCTCCCAGACAAAGTTTGGCCCTGTGCCCCCAGCCCTTGGGGGAGTGGACTCTATGCCTTTGGAATGCCCTGCCTGCCCACCTGAGGACCTTGGGCCACACATCATCAGCTCAACCTCTGGGGGTGCTGGAGACTAAGGTCAGCCACACAGTCATTCACGTCCACATGACCAAGCTCAGGGGAGCTTCCATGGTAGGCAAGACTTCGTATGTGTTGTCACACATCGTTGCTGGGAGAAATAAGTGCTGTCCTCCACATCTCCACTGAGAGAGACAACTGGAAGCTCACACCCAGAACTCTCATGGACTCTGCCCCATGTGTCTTTTCCTGTTGCTGACTTTAATCTGTATCCTTTTGCAGTAAATTACTGAACCCAAGGGTAGTCTTGGTGTCAGAAGTAGGATTTGCTAGAATGACCTCAAAACACTGAAATATGACGATGGCATGGTTTGGGAAAAGGAAGGATGAGAGGGTAGGGTAACAAACCTGGGATGACCACGAGGATACCCATGGTATGAAACTACAGCTGCAACAGAACTAGTTACCAGAAGTTAAGTTACCAAAGGAATTTAGACATGATAGAGCCAAGTCCTGAGAAGTTGGCTCATAACAGACGTAAGAAATACAAAATAACAACAAGAAAGCTAAATACACAATCCTTTAGTTACTATCACCTGTAATAGCTACAATGAAAGCAAAGGAGAGTGCTGGGGACAAATTCTTAGGCTGGGCTAAGCGCAGAGTTTGGCTGGTGTGAGCTACCGCCACTGGCCTCAGGGCCACTACCAAAGGGAAAAATTATGCTGAAATGATGGCTAAGAAAATTAGAGGGATTCACAAGAAAATAGGAAAGACAAAGGTGACAGCCAGGGGCTTGTCCCAGCAGGTGGGAATCTTTAAATGGTTATTAAGAAATGGGGTGAATACAGTGGACATTGACGAGGTAAAAACAAAAGTCTTAATGCTGCAATATCAAAGGTTGGGTGAACTGAAGGGAGCCCCTGATGTTTCCTCAACATTAAAGGGCCCTAAACAAATCTACTCTATTTACCCGTTTGGAGGAATTTAAAAAGCCAGAAGGCAAAAGTGATCATGACAAACCTCTGACTTCAAATCACATGGGATTAACCCAGATGAGGACTGATGGAGGGGCCAGGGTCTTCTGGCTCGACCCCCTGAACCCCGTCACCCCTGCTGGGGACCCAAGGCCATACGCGCACATATGGGAAATGGCCGGGAGGTGGCAGTGACAAAGAGACTTTTCTGGGATTCCTTGACACATTTGCATCTCATGTTCCAGGTTTTGATTTCCACACCTGTTGGTGAATGGGGGCAAGTCAGACTGGGAAGATATGGGGACACAACTGTTGGTGGGATCAAGGTGAAAATCTGGATGAAAACTGGAATGTGTGAACAGACTTTATGTGATGTGGTTGCATCTCCTTTACCTGAATAAATCATTGGCATGGCTATTATGAACGCTTCCCCTACCTAGTTGTGTCAAACAGAAGGCATCTAAATTGCCCTTCAGCCATTAACTGCTATTGTTAGGTGCCATCAAGTCAGTTTCAACTCACAGCAACCCTATGTACAACAGACCAAAACACTGCCCAGTCCTGCGTCATCCTCACAATCATTGTTATGCTTGAGCCCACTGTTATAGCCACTGTATCAATCCATCTCGTTGAGGGCCTTCCTCTTTTTCACTGACCCTCTACTTTACCAAGTATGATGTCCTTCTCCAGGGACTGGTCCTTCCTGATAACATGTACAAAGTATG